TTTTTTCTCATTCTGTATAATATTGAAGCGCGCAAAGTGCGAACATTATAAAACAGAAACAGTTTTCGTTATTTAATATATCTCGCGATGATGATTTCAAACTTTAAAAATCGCTGGTACCAGCCATAAAGCTCAAAGAAAGTTGTCATTTCCGGTTAAAAATTTTCATAAATCAATGAAAAACAGAATTAGTATTTCAGTCGAGAAATCAGCAGAACTTTATGAAAATCGCTACTTCCTAATCGGCTTCTCCTAGTTTGAACATGGCTGAATATGGTTGGATTTTAAATGAGAATAATTATCAATAAGGAAACAATTTTCAAAGAAATATTTAAATTATCTAGGTGTATTTATATCATCAGAAAGTTTCAAAGAATGCCATCGATTTGTCTTATGATATTCAAAGATAAAATCTAATGATTCACAATAGCCCACAACTAAACATTAAAAAACGATAATTGTATCAATAATATTAAAATAAGATAAAATTTCAATGAAAAGTTCATTAGGAAGAATGAGTGTGGATGAGGATGATGGATAAGAGAGAAAAGCTCACACCCACACCCTCACCCTCACCCGCACCCACACCCACACCCACACACACACCCACACCCACACCCACACCCACACCCACACCCTCATCCTCACCCACACCCACACCCACACCCTCACCCACACCCACACCCACACACACACCCACACCCTCATCCGCACCCACACCCACACCCACCCTCAAGTATTAATATGTTTCTCAATATGAACTGAATGGGTAAGTTCAATTTTATAAACGAATATTTCTTGTTCTCTCTTATAGATTCAGATGAAGATGAACATTAGGATACAGGTCAAGATGGACTTAATACATACGTTGAAGGTAAGATAAATTGCATAAAGTAATATTTTTTTTTCTGTATTAGGTTCATTGCAAGATGGATATCAAGATGGATTCTGATATGTTTCACAGTAGTAAGGTAAATTCTATAAGTGAATATTTCTTCTATGTTCTCATAGATCCAAAGCAATATGAATATGAACAAGGACATAAATATGCATGACAATATCAAGTCTGGAGGTAAGTGGAATTCTATAAACTAATATTTCTTCTTCTTTCTTATAGATTTAAACCAACGTGTCAATCAATATGGACATCAATCTGAAGTGTGAAAGTGAGTTGAATGCTGTAAAATATTACTTGTTGGTTTCTTGTATAGATTGATGTCAATTTGGATTCCGAAATCGATCTGAATGTGCATTCAAGACGTGAGTTAATTTATAAAACCATTGTGTTTTTTTAGGATGTTCTCAGCTGAAAAGTTAAAGTACGTTTCTTTCTAAATCTAATAATTTGTAATTTTTGTTATAGGGTGACATACTGGTGAAAATAATGGTTTGGGTTAAGGTGGTTATTATTACGAACTTAAGCAGCAGCAAGAAAAATGGGTTGGGCATCGGATTATTGGAATTCGTTGGACTTTGATTAAGTAAGTAAGGTTACGTAGCAACGTCCGGCTACAATGGTGGTATCTCATTGTAGCCGGACAGTTCGGGTAAGTTTATGATTACTGAACCCAGTTGTTCAGTATAAGGTAGGCCTAGTACTAAACTATTAATACGGAACCTCTAATGTGATCATCAACAGAAGGGTTCTTACCGAACTGGAAATGCAGTTGATGCGAAAAGGGTTTCGCAGCTATGGTTCGGTAAAAAGCCTTTCAGGTAATCTGATGAAATGGTTCGGCAATGAAAGTTTCGTACGAAACCTTAATCTAGATTTGTGAAAAAAGGTGTTGTACGGAACCTGTTGTGCGAAACCTTTTTTGTTTGTGGACAGAAAGGTTTTGGGCGAAACCATTGTTACAAAACCTTAGCTGTAGCTTTTTCCATCTAAGGTTCTACGCTGAACCTTTCTAATACTAAACCAAAAGAAGGATCTTCCCGTGTGTCGGCGGAATGAACCTTTTTTAAGTTCGGTAAAAATCCTTTTTTTTTAGAGTGTAACGAGCACCTGGTACAGAAATTCGGAATGACGAAGTGGTACGAAACATAGTTTCCCCAAAATTGCGCACTAAATTATAATCTTAATTAAACAAAATAAAGAAAAATAATAGATTAAGAAATACTTAGAGTTATTGAACTTAAATATACAATATTAAGAGAAACGATCAGCCATTAGAGAACAAAAGACAGACAATTTAAACAGATATAGGACAATATAGTAATATGAGTAATTGCTAGTAAAACTTTGTTTTTAGATTTCGAAAAATGATCATTCAGATGAAAATTATTGATTATAGGTATGAGTAACCTAATATCTAAAAAGCAGAAAATTTTTAAAAACGCAGAAAGGGCAGACAAAAAGCAGAAAAATCTTCAAAAGGCAGAATTTGTCTGCTAAAAGCAGACAAGGTGGCAGCACTGTTATAAACTCTTTTATTTATCTCATAAAATCTTGGAGAAAATAAAAAAATATAATGCTTTTCTCATTCCATATGTATTTGAACAATTTAATCATTAAACATTGTGGTTTCTAAATTCTAATGAATATTTAGAGAGAAATTGTCATTTATAGTATCATTATTAGCTCTATTTTTAAGTGACACTTCATGATTAAGATTCGAATTGTTATTATTCCCTCAATCATTAGTGATTTCTTTTTCTCTATAACAATAACAGCAACAGATATAATCATAATATTCTCTTGAAGTATGCAGACAAACAATCAATTGTAAATGTCAATTGATATAAAATTTATGGATAAATATTGCAATGTCAATATATTCTTTACTAGATAATCCAATTTCATTACAAGAAAAAAGAAATGACTATTTATCTTGAAGTTGTGTATAATTATATTCAAATTTTCAAAGAATATTTTTCTTCAATAAAATATTAAAAGAAAGAAAACACGTCACCAACTTGGTTTCTCTAATGTAATCATGCTGATGCTTTTTTCTATTCACAAAAGAAGTTAATTTTTTCTTGCCATAACTATTTGTTTAGATGTACTTTTTTTTGTGTAGTAACATAGTTTGTGTTATTGTGATTATAAACGACAGATGTTTTCTGAAGACAAATCGAATAGAATTTCCAATTAGCTTTTTTCTTTCTTTGCATACAAAATCCATAATACATCTTAGCAATATACAAATTAAAGAAAAAATAAAGAAAATAGTTACTAGGTGAATATTTTTTCAAAAGAAAAAAAGAATTTTGAACGTGGTTTTATGATAAACAATTATTTTAGAATACTAGATAAACTGTTTGTTTTGTTCTCGATTCATAATATTATACATAGACATCGATCCTAATTTTCACATTGATGTGATTATCTATTGAGTTACAAATCATAACATTTTTCTATCAATCAAAAACGCAAGAATAAAGACGATAAGACAAAAAAAAATGCGAGATTTTCAAAACGTTGTTATACTGTATGTGATAGATACTCGAAAATCCAAATGCAGTTAGATTGAGTTAAGAAGACTATACAGTTTGCTTTGGTTTTCTTGTCTGATCAAATAGCTCACCTGATCATTCTCCGTTTAGATACTAATGATCGACTTTATTCTTCATGTTTTTCATCTTTACTAATTTTTGATAGAACTCAAAAAGTCTATTTATGAATATATTTGTTCTCAAATAACATTTCAACACAGGCATATGATCTTTCTGAATGGATAATATTTTTTCTAAATAAAAAATAATAAGAACCCAGGGCGATGGGTGGATGCGAGATAAAATAGTATCCTCACTCATACTCAAGCATACTCGTCAATTGACGATCCACTGTCATTAAAATCTAAAAGAAGTTAAATAAATCGTTGCTCATTGAAAAAAAAACATCTATTTTGTAGTTATGTATGATACATTCAAATAATGAAAGAAAGTAAAGACGTCATCAACTTTGTTTGGCAATTTTTCTAATGTAATTATGGAGATGCCGTTTTCCGTCTATAGAAAGTTTGCACATATTATCATCATTGTTTTACTCAATACACATGTACTTTTACAGAGTAATGTCCTTTTTTCTTTTTGTAATTACATCAAACCTAGATCTTTCCAGAAGTTGTCTGCTTCTATCGTTTCTTTTAAAAATTAATCAGAAAGGTTGTCCAACTAACTTCGTCTTTTGCTTCATACATTATATATCACAGCAGCATATAAACGAAGGAAAAGAAAAGAAAAGCAAATTTTTACTGAATAAATACTTTTCCTGGAAAGAAAAAAACCAGTCTAGAATGTGTTGTTATGATAAACAATTATTAAACTTACTGTAGAATAGTGAAAAAACTATTTGTTTTTATTTATCCCATGAAGAAGATGTTTTGTCTTTCACTGATATTATCATACATAGACATGGATCCTAGTTGTTTAGATCATTGTTACATCGATGAAGACAAATGCAATTATCTATTAAATCACAAAACATAATATTCTTTTATCGATCAAAAATTTAAGAATAGAATACTTCGCGTTAGAGTCACTTGAAAAATCCAAATCCATTGAGTTTGAGTTTGAAGGATTATTCAGTTTTCTTTGCTTCTATATAAGGTGCGTAAGAATTGATTGATATATAGTATAATCTGTGAGATAAATTTGTATGAATATCTAATTTATATATGAACAAAATGAATTAAACTATTTTTATTTTTATAAGAAAAATTTCACTTGCGACTAAATCTTGATTATTTTCTTTTCAAATCTAATTTTATTGAGTCGATCGTTCAATACGCTTTTTATCTTTAATCATTTTCCATATAACAAAAACTGTTCTGTTTATGAATATATTTGTCTCCAAGTAACATATCAACAAAAAAATCGTCTTCTTGAGTGGATGTGTTTTTACAAAATTAAATAAAAGTCGTGACTAGTTTTCCATTAGCCGGATGAAATGAAATGAGAAAAAAAAGAAGAAAAAAAATAGTTTTTATCGCTCAACAGATTCTTTTTTTTCTTATTCTTAGTTAAATTCATTTCATCAACTCACAATTTAGTTGGTAATGGCTTCAAGAAGATTTTGTTTATGGTTTGTATTTATGATTATTACACAATCAGTTGGAGAAGATATGCGATCAGTTCGAATGTCTGTAATGCGTAATTCGAAATTTCAATGTGCTAATACAACTTGTTTACCATTTATTGATTTCGTTACAAGAACTATTCTCAATTGTCAAGCAGGTTGTTTAGCTGTAATTCAATGTGCAGCAGCAAGTTTTCATCGATCAACGTCTAATTGTGAATTGTTTACTGATATGTTGAACCAAAATGGAAATATGATGTTTGATGCAGATATTATTAGTATGAATGTTATTGCTGAAACACGATCTCCACCTGGTTAGTACAAAAAATAGTAGATTTAGAAAAAAAACCATTTTAAAAGTATCGGTGACGATGTATTTAGCAAAGGAAGGTCCTTAGGCGTGTCCCAGGCGTTTTCCTGATATTAAATGGGTTTTTAAAGTGCAGTATACCTATCTCAAGTATGAAACAAATAGATAATCTCACTGTACTAGTAAAAACTAATTGCAGTAAAAACATTTTCTAAGAAATATAAACATATGTTTTTCTGTATAGCTTTTAAAAAATTATCAAATCATACAGCATTTTCATTATGAATATTGTACATCTTGTTTGAGATATGTATTATGTGTATTTTTATTGAATCTTCCTAGATGTCGTGCATGAGTCATGTTTATTCTGTATTGCAAAGTGTATGAATGTATATTCAATTCCATGGTCCTTTATATTTCAAATTGGACTTTAGACAAGAACCGCGCTTCTCAATATATTTAGAGCGAGGATTATAGGGAACGAAAAAACCAATAGTCTTCGCAATTAATAGGCAAAAAAAAACATTACGTTTTCTATCAATCGAATAGTTCATTTGAATGAAATGAAACCGTCTACAATCAGCTATTTTCCTCAACATCCTTCCAGTCCTATGTGCCACTAAGAGGACTCGAGAGACTAGGGGGTAAAGAGGGACTGAGAGGACTCGAGAGACTGAGGGGCAACGAGAGACTAAGAGGATTCGGGGGACTGAGAGTACTCGGGGAATACAAGTAACTCGGGGGACTGAGAGGACTCGAGGGACTGAGAGGGCTCGGGAGACCAAGAAGTCTCGGGGACTCGGAGGACTGAGAGGACTCGGGGAGTACAAGTAACTCGGGAGACCAAGAGGACTCTAGGGACTGAGAGGACTTGGAGGATTTGGGAGACCAAGAGGAATCGGGGGACTGAGAGGACTCAGAAGACCGAGAGGACTCAGAAGACCGAGAGGACTGCGGGGACTGAGAGGACTCGGAAGACCGAGAAGACTTGACGGACTGAGAGCACTCGGGGAATACAGGTAACTCGGGGAACTGAGAGGACTCAGGGGACTGATAGGACTCGGGTGACTAGGCGGACTGAGAGGACCAAGAGGGCTCGGGGGACCGAGAGCACTCGAGGAACACAAGTGAATAGGACAACTGAGTGGACTCTAGAGACTGAGGATATTTAGAAGACACAGAATACCCGCGGGACAATGGAGGGACAGCGCGAATTTTGCAGTACAGACTTTCGCAAGTGACTTTTGGCAATTGCCAAAAGTTGTGTTTTCGCTGGATTTTCGGCAAAATCAAAACTGAACTTTAGGCAATAGGCCAATAGTCCAGTTTCGTTACGGCGAAAATCCAAAAAAAAACAGAACTTTTGGCAATTGCCAAAAGTCTTAATTAGTGGGAAAATCATTAATTAATAATATTTCGTAAACTGTATTTTCGGCAATTTTATGAGATGACCTGTTTGAAGAAAGCAGCTTGCATTGCAAGTGGCCTGCGTTGCAAGTGGCCTGCATTGCAAGCAGCCTGCATCGCAAGCCACCTGTATTGCAAGGCACCTTTCTATGCAAGGTGCTCAGCCGATTGCGGATGTGAGAGTTTCTCCTTCATAGATACCTACACCTACACCCACCTCCATCAATACAAGAATTTTTCGTTAAGTCATTGTTGGTCGAGCACTTTGCAAAGCAAGGTGCTTGCATCGCTCACGTCTTACAATGCAGGTGGCTTGCAATGCAAGCCAGTTGCAATGCAGGCTGCTTGCAATGCAGGCCGCTTGCAATGCAAGCTGCTTTCTTCAAACAGGTCATCTCATAAAATTGCCGAAAATACAGTTTACGAAATATTATTAATTAATGATTTTCCCACTAATTAAGACTTTTGGCAATTGCCAAAAGTTCTGTTTTTTTTTGGATTTTCGCCGTAACGAAACTGGACTATTGGCCTATTGCCTAAAGTTCAGTTTTGATTTTGCCGAAAATCCAGCGAAAACACAACTTTTGGCAATTGCCAAAAGTCACTTGCGAAAGTCTGTACTACAAAATTCGCATTCCCCACTGGGAACACTTATATGCCTCAAGAAACCAAGGGAAAGTGAGAAGATGAAAGTGCTCGCAAAATTACTCCGCTGATATATTACAATAATCGACTGTGTATACAAGTCTGCTCTGTATAGCCAGAGTCAAAACAATTATTTCTATCCAGAACAAAGTGATTCAGTACCAGAGATAATGAGTTTCCGTCCCTGAAGAAACTGGAATGTATATGAATTCTTGACAGTTCTGATTGACTAATAAAGTCTAGATATGTAGGAATGACGCTATTTTATTCCTCTAAATGTTATGAGTCTCCGTTGTTTCTCGTACCCCGCGTAGCCCTGTTAGCCTGCGTAATACCCTGAATCCTTCTTGTCCTCCTAACCCTCTTAGTCCCCTTACGATGAAACCGCTCCAACTGATTCATCGCTTTCGGATCAGACTATATGCAAAGAGTAGGCCCTAATGAGGTGTGAGAAACCCCATAAAGATAAGGGCCCATAGGTCTGTCACTGAAATTTTAGGCTCAAGCATCGTAGCTACCAAAAAATCGAAGGACGATATTTTGTCCTGAGATTTTACCCATAGTAAAGTCTCCTAGTAAGTAGAACGTACTAAAAATTTAAGATAAAAATAACGTCCCCTTCTCGAGATATTAAAGTCCTAAAAAACAGAAAATGTTAGAAACTTTCATGGAATATGAGAGATTTTTAATGCCGTAATAGTTCGAGAAGGGAACGTTATTTTGTGCTGAAATCTTCAGTGCATTCTACTCTTCAATAAGCCTTACTATAGGCAAAATTTCAGGACGACATATCGTCGTTCAATTTTTTGATAGATGCCATGCTTGAGCCTAAAATTCCAGTGAAACTCCTATAACTGTAAAAATAAGGCCTATGGGCCCTTATGCTTTTGAGATTTCTCATATTTCACTGGGTTTACTCTATGCACAGAGTCTAAATCCAAAAGCGAAGAATCAGTTAAGGCAGTCCCTTCATAAGTTCAGGTATAAATATATTACATCATTGTATGGGATTGTTATACTAGAGATCTGATTAACGTAAAGATGTTAAAAGTACAATTATAATATAAGCCGCCTAAAGATTTACTCTTCAATCATGGTACACTCACATTTATAGCAGGTATAATAGTTACAGTGGAAGAAGTTAGGAGTAAACCCGTATCCAAATGTTAGGTTCATTCTAAACTCTCTTCTACAAAATAGAACCGACTACGACAACAACTTCAACCACAACATCAACTACAAAATCAACCACAACAACATCAACAACAACATCAACAACAACATCAACTACAACTACAACAACAACATCAACAACAACATCAACTACAACAACAACATCAACATCAACTACAACGTCAACAACAACATCAACAACAACAACAACGTCAGCAACAACATCAACTACAACGTCAACTACAACGTCAACATCAACAACAACAGCAACACCAAGTCAGTACTACATTAAATGATTTATAGCTGCTAAAACGATGATAAGCTCAACTGATGACATCTAAAAGTTTAGGTTTTAGCTATCAAATGTTTGCAATCTAGCTAAACAACATGAGGAAACATTTCCTATCAGAAGTCGAAGTATGCTCGTTCTGTCTAACAGTATCAGGGGAATACATTGATGATAGGAAGATTTTCATACGATCAAACTCATTGATCATTTTAGTAATAACTCACGTTAACCCACTTCCAAGATGATCGGAATAATTCTACACGATGGAGTACTAGTTGACATAATATCGACACCTAATCGCATGTTTTAGGTTACATTTGTTTAGAATTGAGTAATTCAAATGAATATTGTAGCAATATATAACGCAAACTTCAAACTGGAGAAAAACACCTTTCATCATCATCAATTAACCCTTAGTGTACTGATTTTCTTATGAGAATGATGCAAGAATTGTATTCTCTTACTCACAGTTACACCCTGGTACATACATACACCATCCCCATCCAACATAGTGAAAGTATAACTTGCTTTCGCTCAAATTCTGAAATTGAATTATTATTCATTATAACTGAATTGTGCGACAGTGTAGGAGTTTTCTCAGTTCGCGATATCGGTAGAACTCGAAAAATATCAGTGAAATCGTTTATAACATGTTTTTTATTAATTTAATTTAATATTTCATAATGAATCTTATCTTAATCATGAAAATAAAGATAACTTTATTGAAAGTTTGAAATCATTTAATCTGTCATCAATACATAGACAACTTATGCATATGAGAGATTCGAAGTTATTTTAAGAACAACGTTTTTTTCTCATTTTTCTGCCTTATCTAGGATGGACAATCACAGGAAACCTGAATACTGCACGATTAGGGCACACATCATCCACATTACCGAATGGATCAGTACTAGTTGCTGGTGGAGCCAACGGCGCTGGGAGTCTTAATAGTGCTGAATTGTACAATCCGTCAACAGGCACTTGGACAATAACAGGAATCATGAATACTCAACGATATTATCATACAGCATCCACATTAGCGAATGGATTAGTATTAGTTGCTGGTGGATACAGTGGTAGTAATCTTCTCACTAGTGCTGAATTATACGATCCATTAACAGGCAGTTGGACAACTACAGGAAGCATGAATATCGCCAGATCTCGCCACACAGCATCCACATTAGCAAATGGATCAGTATTAGTTGCTGGTGGACAAGGTAGTAGTAGTTATCTCAATAGTGCTGAATTATACAATCCATCAATACGCACTTGGACAATCACAGCAAACATGAGTATCGCTCGAATCTATCACACAGCATCCACATTAGCAAATGGACTAGTATTAGTTGCTGGTGGATTGGACAGCAGCGGTAGTGTTACCAATAGTGCTGAATTATACAATCCATCAACAGGCACTTGGACAACTACAGGAAACATGAATGTCGGACGATCAGATCACACAGCATCCACATTAGCAAATGGATCAGTATTAGTTGCTGGTGGAGAGGGCAACGATGGTTATCTCACTAGTGCTGAATTATACAATCCATTAACAGGCAGTTGGACAACTACAGGAAACATGAGTGCCGCACGACTTTGGCACATAGCATCCACATTATCAAATGGATTCGTATTAGTTGCTGGTGGACTAGGAAACAGTACTGCTTATCTCAATAGTGCTGAACTGTACAATCCATCAACAGGCATTTGGACAACTACAGCAAACATGAGTGTCACACGATATGTTCACACAGCATCCATATTAGTAAATGGAAAAGTGTTAGTTGCTGGTGGATACAATAGCGTTGGTGGTTATCTCAATACTGCTGAGCTTTATTAATCGATATAGACAAAATGACATTTTCTTTTGTGAACTGAATCATAATTTTTTTAATATATAATCAAACTATTTAATTATTCACATTTCTTAATAAACTATCATTCACCAAATAATATATGAGTTGCAGTAATATTTCGAAGCCATATTGTATGGCGGTTATTGAAAAAGACTCATGATTGATAAATGACAGATCATTATTTTTACAACTGAATGGATATAAATATAGATGTGAAGAATATTAATTATTTCTTGTTAGTAACGACATTTATTCGCATGACAGCGAATTCACATGTGATGATAACGTATGAATAATCGTTCTCAAATGAATATCAGAAATGAATAACTGAATAATATGTTCAAACAAATCAATCTTTTTACAACTACACCCTTTTTTGTCAAATAGTTTAATCAGCTTAATTGTTGTATTTTATAAAATTGATATATTTAATGTTCTTATTTTGTGCATAATTTTAGAAAAAGAATGATACTTCTGACATAGAATAAATCAAATGCCCATGTCAAAGAAACAAGACATATTATGAAAAAACGATTGCTTATTGGTGACTAAACGAATGAAAAAGAAAATAGAATATATATTATTGAAAGTAAAAAGAGACGAATGAGAGTGTGAATCAGTATTTGATTCACTTTGGATGTACACTTATAGTTACACTTACGCAATGAAATTAATTTCAGTCAATAATATATATCTCAAATAAATCAGTATAACTGGTGACAAAGTAAAAAGACAAGAAACACAAAAATAATTTACAGGAAGAAGAATGAAAAAATTGTCTGATTAAATCGACGAAATCTTTTCGTTGGCTGATAATTGATAGAAAGACATACCACGTTATTCCCGATGTTCATTATTAAAAGTATCTCTGTTTTTCAACGTTACACTGTCCAGTCATATTTTCAAAAATACTAATGAACAGAAAAGATAATAAAAACGTTTTCATGTTTATTCGAAAGACCTTGTATAATTCTCTTGACAGAATATGTTAAAAACATGACAAGATGAATAAAATTTATCGTTTTCTCCGATCATCATCTCTAATTTTTGTTCTTTATTAAAATTTTATTGTTGGAGTTTATACCTAATAAATAACTTCTGCTCAAATTCAGTTACGTAATAAGTTAGATTTAATCTATGCATTTGTTGATTCTAGTTAATTCTGTCACTTAATTGTCGAATTCTAAGGGTGTGGGTGTTTTGTTCTTCTCTTACCCGCACCCATCCACACCATCACACACCCTCTATGACAATAAGAACAACAGATATAATCGTAGTATTCTTTTGAAGTATGGAGATAAACAATCAATGGATATAAAATTTCTAGATAAATATGATATTGTCAATATATATTCGTGTTTAAATATATTTTTTAGTAGATAATCCAATATCATTAGAATCAGAAGCAGAAGAAAAATAAACAATCATTTATCTTGAAGTTATGTGAATTATATTCAGATTTTGAAAGAATATTTTTCGTTGATAAATATTAAAATAAAAAGAAGTCGTCATCAACCTAGTTTTTCTAATATAATTATGGAAATTCATTTTTGTTATTCAGAGAAATATGGGACGTTTATTGTTTTACTTTAATGTACTTTTATTTCGATGCACTTTTATTTGTGACCCAATGTCATTTGTAGTATTATGATTATAACACAACACGTAGATGCTTTTCGGAAGTTCTCTGTTTCCTTTCCTACATACACAAAAATAGCGTAACAATCATATAAATGAAAGAAAAGGCCATTTCCTGAATGAGTATTTTTCTCAATAGAGAAAAAGTACGTTCGACTGTCTTATTATGATAAACAATTCTTTAACGTTGCTTAGAATACGAACAAAAAAAATGTTTCTTTTAATTTTATCTGATAAATCGATTATTTTGTTTCTCATTAACATTACTCTACATAGATATGAATCTCAACTATTTCGATCATTTTCATGTTGATGGAGAAGAATATGATTATAAATCATAATATTCTCTTATCAATTAAAAACGGAAAAATGGAAATGGTACGATAAAATAACAAATGAGAGATTTTTATAATTCGTGTTATCGACACTTGAACAAATCTAAATGAGATGTGTTGGATTTTGAAGGGGTTTTGCGATTAGTTTACTGATATATTGCATAATCTGTGAGATAAATTTGAAATATTCAGATTCTATTTATTGAGTGTTGACTGCATAAATAATTTTTAATTGAATTATTTTCATTTATATAGAAAACTTCATCAGCTATTAAATGCTGATTAATAACATTTAAACACAGAAATATCGCTTTTCCGACTCGATAATGTTTTTTCAAAAAAAAATAGTTTTGATTATTTTTTCATTAGATTGATGACAGGAAATGAGAAACGGAAGTCATGACTGGTTTTCTACGAGACTGATGAAATGAAATGAAAAGAAGAAGGCAAGGCGAATTTTTCATTAGAAGAACGAAGTGAATTGCGAGAAAAAGAGAGAGAGAAAAATAGTATTTATTGCTCAATAAATACCCTGTCTTCTATGGTCGATTGAAGTCAGCCTCAATCGACGTGATCCCAAGTTGAATCCAAAATCCATGTTTTACCTATTTATCAAAATTCATTCTATAGTCCAAATATTTTATTTATATTATACAATAAAGAATCCTAAGCTAATTTTAGGCTTAATTAATTAAAAACTACAAAGTCGATGATTAATCAACTAATTATTGACTAATTACTAATTAATTACTAATTAGCAATTAAATTTTTACCTTGTCTATAAAATTTGAGTAAAACATAATCGAACCCGGAGAATTCAAATCTGAGCTCAGTTTCGAACTACTAATTAATTACT